TGCCCTTGTTCTTGTGCCAGTACCACTTTGTTCTTGTGCCAATACCATGCTGTTTAAATGACTATAGCCTTGTAGTATAGTTTGAAGTCTGGTAAATGGATACCTCCTATTTTGTTTTTATTGACTAGGATTGATTTTGCTATACGGGGTCTTCTCTGGTTCCATACAAAGTGTAATATTATTTTTTCTATATCTGTGAAAAATGATGATGGTATTTTGATAGGGATTGCATTGACTCTGTAGGTCACTTTGGGTAGTGTAGACATTTTAACAATGTTGATTCTGCTGACCCATGAGCATGGTATATTCTTCCATCTGTTTATTTCCTCTGCTATTTCCTTCTTCATTGTTTCATAGTTCTCCCTGTAGAGGTCTTTTACCTCCTTAGTTAAATATATTCCAAGGTACTTTGTTTTCTTTATTGCTATTTTGAAGGGAATTGAGTCTTGATTTGGTTCTCACTTTTACTGTTGGCGTATATGAATTCCTCTGATTTCTTTGTATTGATTTTGTATCCTAGACTTTACCAAATTCATTTATCCATTCAAGGAGTCTCTTGGTTGAATCCTTGGGGTTTTCTAGGTATAATAACATGTCATCAGCAAAGAGTGAGAGTTTGATCTCTTCTGCTCCCATTTGGACGTCCTTAATTCCACTCTCTTGTCTGATTGCTGTAGCGAGGACTTCCAGCACTATGTTGAACAGAAGTGGAGATAGTGGGCAACCTTGTCTTGTTCCAGTTCTAAGTGGGAATGCTTTCAGCTTTTCCCCATTCAGTATGATATTGGCTGTGGGTTTGTCGTATATGGCTTGTATCATTTTTAGGTAAGCCCTGTCTATGCCTATTTTTTGAGCGTTCTTATCATAAAAGGGTGTTGAATTTTGCCAAATGCTTTCTCTGCATCTATTGAGAGGATCATATGGTCTCTGTTTTTGCTTCTGTTTATATGGTGAATTACATGTATAGATTTGTGTATGTTGAACCATCCCTGCATCCCTGGGATGAAGCCCACTTGGTTGTGATGAATTATTTTCTTGACAAGCACCTGGATTCGATTGGCTAGGATTTTGTTGAGGATTTTTGCATCTATATTCATAAGGGATATTGGTCTGTAGTTTTCTTTTTTTGTTGCTTCCTTTCTTGCTCTTGGTATCAGGGTTATGTTTGCTTCATAAAATGTGTTGGGGAGGATTCCATCCTTCTCGATGTTGTGGAATAATTTCTGCAGGATAGGCACCAGTTCTTTGTAGGTGTGGTAAAATTCGGGTGTGAAACCATCTGGTCCAGGACTTTTCTTTTTGGAAGTTTTTTTTTTTTTTTTTTTTTTTTTTTTTTTTTTTGAGACAGAGTCTCACTTGTTGCCCAGGCTCAGAGTGAGTGCCTGCGTCAGCGGCTCACAGCAACCCTCTAATCTCCTGGGTTCAGCGATCTATTGCCTCAGCCCTCCCGAGTAGCTGGGACTACAGGTATGCGCCACCATGCCTGGCTAATTTTTTGTATATATATATATTTTTAGTTGGTCAATTAATATCTTTCTATTTTTGGTAGAGACGGGATCTCGCTCAGGCTGGTTTCGAACTCCTGACCTTGAGCAATCCACCCGCCTTGGCCTCCCAAAGTGCTAGGATTACAGGCGTGAGCCACCACGCCCGGCCTTTTTTGGAAGGTTTTTTATTGCTGTTTCAATTTCCGTACTTGATAGTGGTCTGTTTAGGAATTCTATTTCTTCTGGTTGATCCTAGGAGGCTGTGTGTTTCTAAGAAATTGTCCATTTCCTCCACATTTTCCAGTTTGTGTGCATAGAGGTTTTTGTAGTATTCATAAAGTATATCTTGTATCTCCGTGGCATCAGTTGTAATTTCTCCTTTATTGTTTCTGATGGAGCTTATTAGAGATTTTTTTTTTCTAGTTTTTGTTAGTCTAGCCAATAGTGTGTCAATTTTGTTTATATTTTCAAAGAGCCAACTTTTTGTTTTATTAATCATCGGTATAGTTTCCCTGTTGTCTATTTCATTTAGTTCTGATTTGATCTTAATGATTTCACTTCTTCTGCTGGGTTTAGGGTTGATCTGTTCTTCTTTTTCCCTATTTCTTGACTTTATTCAATTTGAGGCATTATTTATTCATTTCCTACTGTAAAAAGAGAATTTTTCTCTTATAGCTCCCTCTCTCCAACACATAGACACCACATACTCCCCTTTCCCCTTACTTCACAAATCTCCTATCATATACTCTCTCTCGGGGCTGTGTGCTCAATATATTACCTTACTTGCATTCAGGGTGTACATTATTATGACTATGTAAATATTCATCACTAAGCCATGTGGTTTACTATGATTACATTTCCTTTCTTAAACAACTTTTTGTTTTTCTCAGAGTTAATGTATCAGTTACGGTTTTATTTTTGTAGAGCCAAGTCCTGGTGTCATCTCTCTTCTTGTGTTTACCTGAACTGATTGTTTTCTTGTCTTGCTATAGCCCTTCATTATTATCCTATTTGCCTTTTTTGGAAGGAGTAGGCATAGATAGTAGTGTTCATTTTGCCACATTCATTCAGAATTCTTTATCCTAACATTTCTATTTAAGGATTGTTCACAATTTGGACAAAGATAATCTGTATCAATTTAAAAGGTCTTGGAGATCTTAGTACCTCATTTTGGCTGTTCACCAGCAAGTTGATAATATGGTTTCCACAACAGCCCAGCCAGTGTGGAAATTGAGAGGCTTCCCTCTTCTGGATGGGCCTGAGATGAGTCAGTGGGAGCCCTGCCTCAGCTCTGTTGGGCATTTCTCTGCTATTTAAAATTGCCTTGAAGTTCTATAGTGCTGTCTTCTCTTAGACCCCACATCTTTTGTTTTAGGACATTACTGCCGCTTCTATTTTTTTTTCCTTTCATCCTTTGACTTTCTTCCACTCTTTCACTTCATTTAATTGTCTCCTGCTTCAGAACAAGATTTCACCTTTTACTCATTCCTTCTTGGTTTGTAGGTTTCCACATTGTTTTTTCCCCAGACCCTCACCTACTGCCTTTTTAGGGTAAGACATAATCAGTTTATGAACATGGTTATGTGTTCATGTTTTGTACCTTATCTTGGTAAGAAGTTCTGGTGACCCAAAGGTTTTCCCAAACTTGGATTCCTTTTGTGATTGTAGCTTTCTTTGCTAAAAGCAACAGTCACCAGTGTTGGAGCACAAATACATGTACCTGCATTTGCCAGCTGCTCCACACCCCTTTGTCACAATTCTTCTAAGTTCAGTTTCCTTTGAGGTTGTTCAAGCATGTATGTGAACGAGTTATAACAAAACAAAGGAAAACTCTTGCTGTCTCTCAAGCCTCTTGAGAATAGTCTATAGCCCTATTTTTCTCAATGGCCTCATATAAATATATGAAAATAGTCACAGATTTTTATATAAGATTTGTATGACTTAGAGGTACATAGATAAGCAGGATTTTTAGGTTAACTTTTTAAATTAGTATCTCTTCGTTTTTCTCAGCCACCTGTTATCATTGGTAGAGATAGGGAGACAGACACAATCTTAATTATTTATTTTAACCAAAATATTAGGTACCTGCAATGTAAAAAATTGAGGGCCAATTATTATAAGAGATACAAGATGAATAAGACCAGCCCCTGACCTCAAATTATTTATACTATCATAGGAGAGATAAGATAGTTATACAAATGAGGATAATAACCAAGTAAAATAAGCACTGTAAGAGGGCTCTAAATAAAGTACTGTGGAAATTCAGAGTGATATAAACTTAAACCAGTTATTGAAATCAGAAACAGCATTTTGGAATGCTGCAGGACATTTCCAAATATAAATGTTAAGTAGGCAGTGTGTCTGTATGTGTGTGCATGTGCACATGTTGAGTTTGGGGAGTAGAATCTATTTTGTTTAATCTATCCCATTTTGATTTAAAACTTCCTTCCCAAGTAAGGCTTATAGCATAATGGAAAGAACCTGGAATTTTTCTTTCCAGTCCCAGTTCTGCTCTTCCATTTGTTGGGTTTGGATGGTTTTAGAATCACTGTGAACTAGAGTACACACTGCAATTTTATCTGCTCCCATATATCTTATCAGAAGGAAGTCTAGTATCTTCTTCTTGGGTCTTCTTTTTCTTCCTGAATTGTCCAGGAACCCCCAGGGATGTAGGCAGTGTAAAAGGAAAGATGGTAGGTCCAGCTTTCACCCCTAAATGGGGAGAGCCCCACAATCTGCTGTTTGATTTCCAGCATGTCACAGGGTGCTATTGAAAACCAGTCCTCACTATGTGACTGACCGGAAATGCTGACTCACTACTAAGTCTGCTTCCTGCATCAGCTACTCTGATGCCTTCTGAGGGAGGAGCCCACTCTGCTCAGCTCAGCCCAGGTACTCCACTTGGAATCCAGAGCAAAGCACCTGCTCTTGTGCTCCTTTAGCCTAATGCACAGCCATTTCCTGATGTCAGATGGCCCAGGAAGCTTGGGTCTGGATCTGTTCACCTGCCACTTCACAGACCTGGAACTTCTGACCACTTCTCTTCCAGAATCCTCCTGTAGCAATCAGGCAGGCTGCCTCTTTTCCAGACTCCAAACACCAACATTCTCCTCCTTCCCCTTCCCCAAGTGGGAGGTTAATCACCCACCCTTCCAAGGAAGGCTCACCTCAGTGATTCATGGGTGCTTTAGCACCTCAAGAAAGACTAAGTGATTCAAGGTACCCTTACCCACACTTCTTGGATGGAGTGGAAGTGAGGACTCTATTTATAATGATTCAAGATGATTATTGGCACTCTCACTATAGGAAAACAAATCTGTACCAGACTGAGCAAGAGTGAGACCCTGTCTCTGCAAAAAATAGAAAAACTTAGCTGGGTGTGGTGTCACATGCCTGAAGGCCCAGCTCCTTGGGAGGCTGAGGCAAGAGGATCACTTGAGCCCAGGAGTTTGAGGTTGCTGTGAGCTATGATGATGGTACTGCACTCTACCCTGGGGTGGAAGAGTGAGACCCTGTCTCAAAAATAAATAAATAAATAATAAATAAATAAAAGCAAATCTGTGATATGGTCATCCCGCTTTGTTAATAGTATTTCTCAGTGTCATTGTGAAGACATAGTGAAGATAGTGTTATAAAAGTTTAAAGAGCCATAGCCATGTTGTTGTCATTGTTATTCTGTCATTTCCTGTTTAAATCCCTTCAAAGACTGCCCATTTGGCTTAGGACAAGTGACTTGACCCTGCTCTTCTTCTCCACTCTTCATTTTGTAACACCCTACTCTTTCACTGTGCTTTTAGCCCCACCAGTCTGTCCTAGACTTGTTAGGGGTTTTCTCCCTCACTGGGCTTCTACAGACAGCATGCTTTTGAATGAGGTGGATTTCCTCTCTCTCTGCCTAGCTAAGTCCTGCATCATCATCTCCTTTTAACAGACATTCACCTTCCCTGAAACTCTAATGCAAGTTAAACTCCTCATTATGTGGGCTCAGAGAGCCTCGTTCTTTTCCTTCTCAGCACATATCACAATGTAAAAGATATATGTATGGTGATAACATGTTTAATATACTTCTTCTCTGGACACTAGCACCAAGAACAGTGAGCAGGTCTGCTCTGTTCACCCCTAAGAAGTTGAATTATTATGTTACTTGTTTTGCAGAGTCCATCCTGCTTCACTCTGTTACTCTTATAAATGAGAATATCGCAGGCAGAGTTGAAATATAAGAAGCTGAGGTTGGCTTTCTTTCCTCTTCCTGAATGGAAATTTTGTGTAGTTTTATATACCTAAATATTAGTATTTTTTCCAGATTATTATTATGTTGAAACAATAGAAACGTATAAGACTCTGATGTCTCTTTTTGCCAAAGAACAATAAATTGTGCACATGTTGATCACTGAGGAAGAAGGCTTTGTATTATAGAAAAACTTAAAATTTGTGGTTTTTCTTAAATTCATTATTACTAAACCTTCTAACATCATCACTATTTAAACTTAATGGTGACCCCTAGTGGATACTCTGCATAACAGACTGTTGGAGAGATCAGGAACTTCCAAACTGAAGCTGGTACTGTGTAATAATCAGCAAGTGATCTTTTTCTTTGGATCTATTATACAAGGCTTAGAAGTTATGAAGAAGAATTACTTTGTGAGACTAGAAGCTTCCATCTTAGCATTTATCTGTATTTAATGTCTCTTAAAATTACTTTGATTCTGTATATGATTATCTTTCTATAAACAAAGCAATAAAAATGGTAATGAAATAAGTACCTAATCAGTACCATAATCCAAATACTTATGGAATTTTTATGTTCCATTTGATCTTTATAATAATTGTATATAAATAGTTTTTATATATAGTTATATTGTGTACATAATATTTTATGGTTTTTTATCACCTGACATTATTTCATTTAGACTGAAGTGTCTGCATAGTCTACGTATTTTTTTTAATTTTTAATGGCATTTAATGGCATTAACACATGTGGTTAGTTCCATTTTCGCTTTTGGCTTTTCCTTACCATGGTAGTGAAACTGTGCACATCTTATTCAGACACAGGAATCTATATTAGCACCCCATGTAATTTCTGAGATCTGGTGGGAGTGTGATACCATAGCCAGAGAATGCTTCACCTTGAGGCAGTATCTTGCCTGCCCAGCTGACATTACATTTGCTGGTAAATAATGCCCTGCTGTCCTCCCATGCCCCTAGACTCTCTCACTCTTATCTGTGATGAAGCCTGAAGTACAGGTTGAGTATCCCTTATCTGAAATGCTTGAGACCAGAAATGTTTCAGATTTTGGAATATTTGCATATATATACCAGTTGAATATCTGAAATGGAAAAATCCAAAATGTGAAATGCTCCAATGAGCATTTCTTCCCAGTGTCAGATAGGAGCTCAACAAGTTTCAGATTTGGGAGCATTTCAGATATTGGATATTCAGATTTGGAGAGCCCAACCTGTACATTGTTTTCTACCCCTTGTTCATGATAAATTGTTACCCTTGAAAGTAAGCTAAGATGGGAATAGCCTTCCAAAATTCTTTTAATCCATCCAGGACATAGTTTCTTCCCTCTCACCCCGAAATATGCATTGATTTTCCAGTTGCTTTTAGGGAAAGGAAAATTAGATAATTGATTTTTAGAAGGTTAGAAAATCCTGCTCATAGTGTCATAATTTACCTAGAAAGCTAACAACTGAATATTACCTTATTTTGGGTAGGAATCTGCTTATGTGGTTATGACCTTTAAGTATAATTTTTATTTTCTTCTTTACACTTAGCTGTTTCCTTGGTGTTCTGTAGTGAACATCTTTTATTTTTATATTCAGAAAAATAACTTTTCTAAATTATTGAAAACTTGTAAAACCCAGGAAAGCCTATGGAAAAATATATAAATCATCCAAAATCTCATCACGTAGGATAATTGCTATTCATATTTTACTGTATTGGCTTCCAGTATTTTCAATGCACATTTAAGTGTATTTGTGAATCTTATATTTTAAAAAGAACTACGGTATGTGAAAATAAAAATTCATAAAGTTTACATAAATTAGAGTGATTATTCACATCTCAAGAAGATTGACTACAAGGTTTTGTTACTAAGCTCTCCTGTTATATTTGAAGTGATTCAATTCCTAGAAAATTGCTCTACTTTTTTTTTCTTTCACAACTTTTAAAAATAGCCTCTTGTCATCTTGAAGCAGGTGTATTACACTTTTGAACCAAGGTTGTTCTATCAGAAATCCATGTTTTTGTGGCGTTGTGCTTTGGGCACCTGAGGAATACTCACTGAATGTGCTTGTCAGCCACTTACTGAAACTGCAGTTGAGAGTCAATAAGGAAACCCGGACGCCGCCTCCCCTCTCTTTTCTCCAGGAGGCCAGAAAGATGGCGGACATTCAGACGGAGCGTGCCTACCAAAAGCAGTCCACTATCTTTCAAAACAAGAAGAGGGTCTTGCTGGGAGAATCTGGCAAGGAGAAGCTCCCTTGGTACTACAAGAACATCGGTCTGGGCTTCAAGACTCTCAAAGAGGCCATTGAGGGCATCTACATTGACAAGGAATGCCCCTTCACTGGTAACGTCTCCATCTGAGCGCAGATCCTGTCTGGTGTGGTGACCAAAATGAAGATGGAGAGGACCATTGTCATCTGGCGAGACTATCTCCACTGCATCCGCAAGTACAATCGCTTTGAGAAGCGCCACAAGAACATGTCTGTGCACCTGTCCCCCCTGCTCAGGGACGTCCAGATTGGTGACATTGTCATGGTGGGCGAGTGCTGGCCCCTAAGCAAGACAGCGCACTTCAGTGTGCTCAAGGTCACCAAGGCTGCCGGCACCAAGAAGCAGTTCCAGAAGTTCTGAGACTGGATGTCTGCCCATTCCCCAAAACGAAATGAAGTTATTTTCTCATTCAAAAGAAAAAAAAGAAACTGCAGTTGACTTTTTGGTTTTATTTCTGGCCAACTATAATAATGAAATGTTCATCGTGATTTTAGACCCAAAAGAGACCTGGTCTGTTTTGGGTCAGGATGACTAACGTCCTGAGGAAACTGAGATAAACATTTGCAGAGCATCATATTAATATTGCTTGGTGAAAAGCATGTTGTGAGGCTTTTTTTTTTTTTTGGTGCCAGTGCAGTAGATCTCTTGTCTGTCATCTGACTCTCAGTTCTCATCAGATGTCTTTATTCGTGTTGTATTTCCTTGTGTTTTATGTGTAATAACCTCTAGATAATCCTGAGCAGAAATGTTCATTTTCTCTAGTTCTTCCTCAAACAAATGTTTTCAACTACCAGTTCCCTTATCACATCCCTATCATTACTTTGTAATAATTTTTATTCTTTAGCCCACATTGTCTTCTTTCTCCTATTCTAATTAATTACATTGAAAAACACAGAAGCATAGGTGAGAGAGGAATGGTAAAAATAAAATACATAAAAAATAAAATACATTTTGCGCCCATATTTTGTGAAGTAAGAATCCATATTCTTTTCATTCTTTATTAGCTGTCTAATTTGAAGGCACCATGTTTCTTAGCAAGGTGGTTTCGTATGTCCTGGCAAATCTGCTTATTTAATTAATAAAATAATCAGTGATAGATATTAGTTATATATTCATTATTATTTAAAAAGTAATAATAAAAGCTAGTGTTTTAAGCTGGACATGGTGGCTCATACCTGTAATCCTAGCACTTTGGGAGGCCAAGATGGGAGATTGCTTGAGGCCAGGAGTTGGGGACCAGCCTGAGTAAGAGTGAGACCTACAAAATAAAATACAAAATAAATACAAAAATAAATAGAAAAATTAGCTGGATGTGGAAGTGCACGCTTGTGGTAGTCCCAGCTACTCTGGAGGCTGAGGCAGGAGGATCACTTGAGTCCAAGAGTTTGAGGTTGCAGTGAGCTGTAATGACACCATTACACTCTAGCCCAAGAGACAGAGTGAGATTCTGTTCCCCCTTCCCCCAAAAGCAAAAAAAAAACTCACTAATGTTTTAAAACTTAGTGCTCTGTTTAAGTCAAACCATTTTCTCTGTACATATTTACAAGCAAAGTAGCTCATGTGTGCTAATCTAATTTCCTTCCTGTATATATCATCTGACCATACAAATAAAAATAGCCCCTTTCTATTTTTTGTTCTCTAAAGTTATTAATAATTGGAATATATTTTAAGTAATTTCTCTGAGTGGCTGAAAACTTTATTTGAAGAGTTTTTTGCAGAATTTTTTGCATGAGGGCAGGTGTTTTTTTTTTTTAAACCATTATCTAACTGCTGACTATAAATGCTAAAACATTTACATGTTCGTAAACTAAATTGTTAATTCTGATTACTTTCCTTTTAAGAGTCTTTGGAGAATTTTTACAACTTTTCATAACCTTTTCTGGTTGAGGAATTAAACAGATCTGGATTTGAAACCCTGGCTCTGTGATTTTTTTTTTTTTTTTTTTTTGAGAGAGTCTCACTTTGTTGCCCAGGCTAGAGTGAGTGCCATGGTGTCAGCCTAGCTCACAGCAACCTCAAACTCCTGGGCTCAAGTGATCTACTGCCTCAGCCTCCTGAGTAGCTGGGACTACAGGCATGCGCCACCATGCCTGGCTAATTTTTTCTATATATATTAGTTGGCCAATTAATTTCTTTCTATTTATAGCGGGGTCTCACTCTTGCTCAGGCTGGTCTTGAACTCCTGACCTTGAGCGATCCACCTGCCTCGGCCTCCCAGAGTGCTAGGATTACAGGTGTGAGCCACCGTGCCCAGCCTAGCTCTGTGATTTTTGAATAAACTAATCCGTGTCTCTCTTCCCTTTTCTGTAAAAAGATGATAATGGTAGCACCAGCTTCATAGGGTTGTTGTGAGGAATAATAAGATAAAGTGTGTATATGTGCAATGCCTGGCACAAAGGAAACACTTAAATTTTAGCTTTTATTGTTATAGACCAGTAGTTGGTAAACTTTTTCTATAAAGGGCCAGCTACTAAGTATTTTAGGCTTTGAAGACCATACAGTCTCTGTCACAATTACTCAACTCTGCCTTAGTGTGAGAGCAGCCACCGACAGTATGTGAACAGATGAGTGTGGCTGTGTTCCAATAAATCTATTTATAAAACAGATCATATTAGCCCATAGGCTATGGTTGGTGACCCTATTCTAGACTAATAAAACTAAATGAAACAAGGTATGGAAAATACTAAGAATTCAGTATAGCTCTTCTGTGAAATGGATTATCAAGAGAAATTAGGTTGATTAAACTTCAGTGTACAACCCCAGACATTTCAAAATCTCTGTGTCTGAAACATGTTATGCTCAGTTAAAAATTTAAAAAGAAAAATCTCAGTTGCCAGGAACCATCAAACCATTTATGCATTTTTAGATCCATAAAAACATGTTAGTGGTAGCTGGGCGTGGTGGCTCACGCCTGTAATCCTAGCACTTTGGGAGGCCGAGGCGGGCGGATTGCTCAAGGTCAGGAGTTCGAAACCAGCCTGAGCGAGACCCCGTCTCTACCAAAAATAGAAGTAAATTAATTGACCAACTAAAAATATATATACAAAAAATTAGCCGGGCATGGTGGCGCATGCCTGTAGTCCCAGCTACTCGGGAGGCTGAGGCAGCAGGATTGCTTGAGCCCAGGAGTTTGAGGTTGCTGTGAGCTAGGCTGACGCCACGGCACTCACTCTAGCCTGGGCAACAAAGTGAGACTCTGTCTCAATAAAAAAAAAAAAAAAAAAAACATGTTAGTGGAGAGCACCCTTAAGTGTATATATTCTTTCTTGCTTTCTTAACCACAGTATATAAAAAATAATCTAACCATTTAAAAAAGTTTTTTTATTCTATCTTATAGTTTTGTGGATCAGGAATTTGGGCAGGGCTCATTATGGTGATTCTTTTGTCCTATGTGGTGCCAACTGGGTTCATTCGGTGATTCTCTACCCCCTCCTCCCCCAACCCACCTAGCAGATGGGATGCTCTGGACAGTCTAAGATGGCTTATTCACGTTTGGTGCCTTGGCAGGGGCAGGTGGAAGCCTAAGCCAGGACTGTTGCTAGAGCTTCTACACATGGCTTCTCTAGCATGCTAGCTTTCTTTTCTTTTCCTTTTTTTTTTTTTTTTTTTTAAAAGATATGACGTTGTCATTATGAGTCTCAGTTCCTATAATGCTTTGATACTGTCAGCCTTTACCAGGGTATGTGGGACTGTTGCTTTTACTCCCTGGACCATTGTGCTTTATTTTTGGCTTGATAAGCTGATTCTCAGCTGCAGTCTGAAGCAGTGCATTTGCTGCATAGATGACATCATACTATATTGGGCATTTAATTTGCTAGATGTATATGTGCCTTCCTGGGCACAACAAAGCACTGTTTAAGAAACTTAAATATACCTTAAAGAAGGAAGTCTTGCAATATGTGACAACGTGGATGAACCCAGAGAACATTATGCTAAGTGAAATAAACTAGTCACAAAAGGACAAATAGTATATGATTTCACTTATATAAGGTTTCTAAAAGAGTCATAGAAGCAGAGAGTAGAATGGTGGTCATCAGGGACTAAGAGGAGGGGAAGCGGGGCATTGCTATTCAACAGGTAGAAAGTTTCAGTTATGCATGATGAATAAATTCTTCTGTACAACATTGTGCCTATGGTTAAAAATAACTATATTGTACACCTAAAATTTTGTAAGGATACATTTCATGTTAAATGTTCTTACTATAGTTTTTTAAGGAAATGACTTAGGAGCTAATCATTTTTTAAAAGGTAGTAAAATATCAGAACTTAGTACTTTTTCTTCAGCTTATATACTTGCTTATTTCCCTCTTCCCCATATTCTTGATAAGACAGCAGATGCCAAGAGGGCAGAGTGTGGGGACAGGTTCAGTGGTGACTCCAGTGGAAGAGGGGCTGGTAGACTTGAAGCTATGCTTGCATAATAAGTACTTTCTTTTACATGTTTATCTGGGATGACTTACAGTATGGTGGCTGAAGCTTCCCAAGCTATTCTTTGTGCAGGATTGAGGGGTCATGTGCACCCACCCCAATTCCTTCATTACCACTACTCTTTGGAGTCTCTAGAATGGCCTTTCATTTTACATGTATCTTCTTGCTATTTCTCTCCTATCAGCCTATGATAATTAAGGCTCTAAGATGGTATTTTTTAGCCTGGATGTCTTTGTATTATACTTACGTGTATATGTTAAAGTTCTCTAACCCTTTACTATAGATAGAGAAATTGTACCTACCTCAGAGTGTTGTGAGAATGCTTAAAGTACTCAGAAAATGTCAGCTATTGCTGTTATTGGATAATCATCTTCCAAACTTCCTTTTTTAGAAACTGATTCAGCAGTACAGAAAGAACTTAGGAACCAGACACCTGCTCCATCTGCAGCTCAAACTTCCGCTCCCTCTAAGTACCACCGAACTCGATCTGGGGGAGCCAGGGATGAACGATATCGATCAGGTGAGAAGGAAATGCAAAAGGACCAGCTGAATAGTTTTTACTGACTATAGTTATGAACTGTGTGTCCTGAGAGCTTCTGCTATTTGTTTTGGTTTTTTCCCTTGAGGCACCAACATGTCTATATTAATTCATTCATCAGTCATTTATTTTATATGATGGAATATTGAGTATCTTCTTTGTGTCAGGTATAGTGGATATTCAACATTTGCTGGAGATACAGCAGCAAATGAGACCCTTTCTGCTCTCAAGGAATTTAACAGTCTAAGAAGGGGAGCTAGACAAGCACAAAGGCAATGGAAATAAATAAGTTAACAAGAAAATGAGGGGTTTAGGTCATGTGGGATGGTACTGGGAGCTCAGTGGACTCTGTTGGAAAAGGCAGGTCCTTCTGTGTTTGCCAGGGCTGTTGAGTAACTAATCTCTTAACTGATGGAGTGAGAAGAAAAACTCTCAATGAAATTTCCGATTAGTAAACTCTTAAACTTTATTCTAACCCAAAAATTAGCCATGGGAAGGGAAAAGGCACGGTGTGCTTGTCTGGCAGTAGGGGTATACTCCTGTTCATACTTTGCCCAGGACCACCTGGCCAGAAGTACTAGATGTGCCTCTGAGGAGCAGAGAAACAAATCGTAGACCCCCAGTGGATGTGTGGCATAGGGAGCCCACCAGTGGTGGTCTCTGCAGCACATTTTTTGTTTTAAGAAGTGGCAGGATTGGCTGGACATGGTGGCTTACGCCTGCGATCCCAGCACTTTGGGAAGCTGAGATGGGAGGATTGCTTGAGGCCAGGAGTTGGAGAACAGTCTGGGCAACATAGAGAGATCCCGTCTCTACAGAAAATTGAAAAATTAGCTGGGTGTGGTGGCACATGCCTGTAGTCCTAGCTACTCAGGAGGCTGAAGCAGCAGGATCGCATGAGCCCAGGAGTTCAAGGCTGCAGTGAGCTAGGATCACACTACTGCACTCCAGCCTGATGGGGGAGCGAGATCCCATCTCTCAAAATAAGTAGCAGGATTAAGGTGAAAGACTAACGGGAATATTATTTTACTTTTTCCAGATTTTTGTCTCCCTTGTACCAATCAAGGTTGCTTAACCTTTTCTTGAATCTAACCTTTTCTTGAATGTCACTGAATCTAAAACTGTTTATTACATCCTCTCAGAAACTGCTTTAGAGAAAAATGAGGAAAGGACAGTTGTGGAGCTGTGTTGACCATTTTGTGGGCTTATTTTACTAGATAGATACTTTACACACTAGAAGGAGGAGATGAGAAATATTGGGGGTGGGGGGAAGGTTGCACACCACACCAAGATTTTCTCTTGTACCTAACCTGGTCTTGAATGATCAGGGGAGCCTGCTCAGAGAATAAGACATCTAAGCTGAGTCATGGCAGGCAGACATGAGTTAGCCAGGGAAACAGTGCCCAGAACTTAGAATGCAAAGCCAGAGAGAGGTGGGAGATGAGGATAGAAGGATTGCCAGAGATCAGATCTTGAGGGATCTTGACTGTCATTGAAGGATTTTCAATGGAGCAGTAACACCATCAGATATTTATTTGTTCTAGTAGCTCACTCCAGCTACAGAGTGCATGCTTTACCACTCCCTGGCACAGGGCCTAACACATATAAGAGCTAAATAGGTGTTTTACAGAAACGAAGGAATAAAGGTAGTTATTAGTTATAAGGAATGGATTGGGGGAAGGTCAGGCTGGAGGTAGCAAAGCATATCAGGAGCTCCTATTTGTTGCCAGCCGCTGAAGCCTGATTTCCGAGGCACCCGGTGTCGCCCTTTGTGGCTCAGTCCAGTTCAGCAGCAGCAGCAGGTTCTAACCTGTCCAGAAGAGTTTTAGCCTTCATAGCTTTCATCCCTGGCTCTCAGGGAGTCTGGGAGTTTTTGTGTTTTTCCTTTGTTTGAAAAGATGATTCTCTATGTCCTATGTCCAAGCCAGTCACATACAGAAAAGACCTTTAGTGAGTTCATTTAGGAATGTAAAGTTTTGAGCCTCACCTACAAAAACCCAGATGTAATCTCTAGTTTAGCAGTTGAGTTTTGATATTTATCTCACTGGGACTCCTCCCCTACCCTCCCCTCTTTCTTTCCTTCCCCTTTCTCTTTCCCTTTCTTTTCCTTTTTTTCTTCTTTTCTTTTCTTTTTTTGGATAGTAGCAAAAAGTAGGCCAGAAAGAAGGTGAAATAGGGAAGAAAAGGTGATTTTTAAAAACCCTGAAGATATTAAAAGCTATAATAGTACTGCATTACTCTAATGAGGGGGAACACCAAAGAGGCATGCAAGTGTAGACTTTGGGTGAAAACCATATTTTTCAATATATTAGGAATTGCTGAAATAGCAAAAGAAAGCTCAGCACATTCTCTGAATAAGAAGAAACCAACAGCAGCAGCAGAGGTGGAGTGGATGAGTTGCAGAGGTTGATGGGAGCTCACATCCACCTCTTTGGTACTCCAGTCATAGAAAGGGTTTACATGTCATGTGCAAAAATGCTTAAGAACATAGAGTATGTTTAGTAAAAGTTGCAAAAATTCAGAATAAAGTGATGGGTACATAGGAAGGATTTAATAGTAATGTCAGTAAGTATAACTGGAAAATCCTCTTATTTGGTGGAGGCTTGTTAACACATACATTTAAATCAATCATAATCAAATCTAAATAGACTTAGTGTTTCATATTTCAGACATAGGAAAAAAGCTTGTCTTTATTTAGAGTTTAGATCATCTAACCTGATTCTATTCTTTGTGTTTAGCCAAGAGGGACCTTACATTTCCAAAATATACTACTTACTGAGTATATTTCTTTTTCTTGTACATCAAGGCATGATGCATCTTTCTGCACACATGTGGTAAGATCCCAAGTATAGAAAACACACAGGTAATGCCTGAGATGGAAAGTGATCTTACTTTAAGTCATTCTGTCAATTCCTTTGATGTTAATCTCTTGAGAAATTAGCCACCTCAAACAAAACAATAAAAATAAAACAAAAATAGACTTTAAGGGAGTATTTGTTATACCTTACTCAGCTCAAACATTAGTGCTGGAAAGTGATACCCAGCTTCCCCATGCTTTTGGCAGAGATGTCCAAAGTCAGCTGCGTCTGGGGACTAAACTTGGGAAGTGACTTATTTATCAAAGATCATGATGAATTGTATGCTGGTGAATGAGTCAAATTCAATTGAGAGCTGCCTGTTCTTATCAGTAAGAGTGTTTGCTAATAGAGTTACTGTGAACATCTCCTTTTGACACCGGTGTGTGGCCCAAGGTTTATCATCTTAGAAAATAATTGGATGGTTTGATTTGTTCTGTGGTCTGATGCGATGAATGCTGTGGCAGGGAAGAACATGCTCCATAATTAATTATCCAGATGTTACAGGCCTTCTACAGCTTTATTAAGGTGACTAATTCCCTAACTTTGTCAAGTTTGCTATCACATGTAAACCTACTTTGGGAAATGTACTATCTTTTAATTAATAATTTATCAATTATTTTAAGATAATTATAATTATCTTTTAATCAATAATAATTAATAATTATTACTTTAATTAATAAATATGAGAATTTGATTTGCTGTTGTCTGTTACTGAGAAAGTGCTTTCTTACAATATAAGTGATTATTAATCATTTATTTTTCCAAGGCAGCTAAGAACCGTATTTCTTCTAATAAAAAAGGGGCACTTCCCACACTTTAACATGTCTGAAATAATATGTTTGATAAAAGATGGCTTTATAAATTCCATTAAAAATGGCAATTTTGATTCAACTAAATAAACCTCAGTGTCACTAAAATAGTATAATCAATATAAATGCAGTATTAAAATGTGCTATAAAATTATTTCATTTCAGAGCCAAAAATAAGTTGGTATGGTGGTCTTAAAAGTAACAACCTAACATTTTGGCAGTATCTTTAAAACTTTAAATATTCATATTCTTTGACCCAGAAATTCTACTTCTAGGAATTTATTTTATATATATATGCACAAAGATAGATATCTATACACACACACACACACACACGGATGTTTGTTATTAAATCAGTTATTGTTCTTAATGACTTTGACTCTGAATATGAATTCTTCTGATTTAATGGTAGGACCTAAATGCAACAATAATTCCTCTGCCACTCTCATTGTGAGCTCTCCTGTCTCTGTCCAAATCTGATCTCTGATTCATGACATTTGCTGAGATGGTTGGTACTGGTGTACCAGGATCATTTTATTTCTATAGTAATACACTTCTTGTACCATGAAAGGTAAATTGAGGTCAGTTCAGCAAGCATTTATTATAAACCTCCTATGATTTGAGCAGAATGTTCCATGCCAGAGAAACAGATGGAAATACAGCATCCTTTTTTTTGAGGGATGTTCTATACAAGCTATAGAAGCAGCTTAGAAAAGGGATATAGGAGAAAGCATACAGTGTCAAGGACAGGCTTTACGGAGATAGTGATGTCTGAGCCATTTTGAAGGATGAATAGCTATTTGCTATGTAGATGTTCCAGGCAAAAGAAACAATTTGTCAAGACAGGGGAATGTGAAATGCAAAATTAAAATTTCCCACCTCTCCCCACCCAGCATATAAGAGTAGTGCCAAAATTAATGTGATATCTTAATGTTTCAGAACTTAATCATTTCTGCCTCTGCCATAATTAAAAATGCTAAAGAGGTCAGTACCTTAGAAATTGGTAAAAATGGCATGACTGCTTGTTGGCTTGCAGGTAGCTCTTTGAATGATACTTCTCTATTTTATGACTCAACCCACCCACATATTTGCTTTTCACTCTGTCCCTATCTGTCTGTCTACAGAAGTGTCCTCATAGGTAAGGGAGCTTGGTGTCTGTTTTGTCCCTGGTCCTTAAAGCCCAGCTATGCCATTCATCTACCATGTCTTTTTTTTTTTTTTTTTTTTAGACAGTCTCACTTTGTTGCCCAGGCTAGAGTGAGTGCCATGGCGTCAGCCTTGCTCACAGCAACCTCAAACTCCTGAGCTCAAGCGATCCTCCTGTCTCAGCCTCCCGAGTAGCTGGGACTACAGGCAAGCGCCACCATGCCCAGCTGATTTTTTTTTTATATATATATTAGTTGGCCAATTAATTTCTTTCTATTTATAGTAGAGACAGGGTCTCGCTCTTGCTCTGGCTGGTTTCGAACTCCTGACCTCGTGCAATCCACCGCCTCGGCCTCCCAAAGTGCTAGGATTACAGGCGTGAGCCACCGTGCCTGGCCCATCTACCATGTCTTAACCATTTCATAAAAACAAGCCAAGAATAGGGAGCAGCTGCTTTAAAACTGAAAAAATAACATTTTCCACTTATCTTTTTAGGAAAGATGAGAAAGGAAATGGTCCAGTGTTATCCATAGTTGTGGGGAAATAGACATTCCTATCCAGTGGCTAAAAGTGTTATTTCTTTTATTACTGATGAGATTGGACATTTGAAGATATATTTAGTGGCCATTTGTGCTGCTTCTGTAAACTACCTGTCCGTTGCCTAAGCTTATTTTTTTAATTGGATTTTTAAAATTATTTACAAGGGTTTTTTTTTAATCCTAAAGACACTAACATTTAAGTTGTACTAGAGAGAGGTATTGGCTGATGCAAATAGACAAGAAAAATCAATTAGAAGTGTGAGAATTAGAAAAGAAGTAAAACTATATTTGCAGTTGATACAGTTTATTTAGAAAACCCAAGACAATGACAAAATTAACTTAATAAAATAATTGTCAGATAGCAGGATATAAATTAGTACAGCAATCAGTAGATAATGGTAGAGCAAACCTCATTTAAAAAAACAATAGCTTTCTCTGCTGGCACCAGCGCTGCTGCCTGCTCCTCCCCGGCCATGGCGTTCATGTTCGCGGCCTTTTGCTACATGCTGGCACTGCTGCTCACTGCCACGCTCATCTTCTTCGCTATCTGGCACATTATAGCATTTGATGAGCTGAAGACTGATTACAAGAATCCCACAGACCAGTGTAATACCCTGAATCCTCTTGTACTTCCAGAGTACCTCATCCATGCTTTCTTCTGTGTCATGTTTCTTTGTGCAGCAGAGTGGCTTACACTGGGTCTCAATATGCCCCTCTTGGCATATCATATTTGGAGGTATATGAATAGACCAGTGATGAGTGGACCAGGATTCTATGACCCTACAACCATCATGAATGCAGATATTCTAGCATATTGTCAGAAAGAAGGATGGTGCAAATTAGCTTTTTATCTTCTAGCATTTTTTTACTACTTATACGGCATGATCTGTGTTTTGGTAAGCTCTTAGAACAACACACAGAAGATTCGGTCCAGTTAAGTGCATGCAAAAAGCCACCATATGAAGGGATTCTATCCAGCAAGATCCTGTTTCCAAGAGTAGCCTATGGAATCTGATCAGTTACTTTAAAAAAATGACTCCTTATTTTTTAAATGTTCCACATTTTTGCTTGTGGAAAGACTTTTCATATGTTATACTCAGATAAAGAATTTAAATGGAATTATGTATAAATTAATATAAAATGATTACCTCTGGTATTGACAGGTTTGAACTTGCACTCCTTAAGGAACAGCCATAATCCTCTGAATGATTGCATTAATTACTTAGTCCATTAGAAGCTTTTGTTTATAGGAATTGGTAGGGCTCATTTTTGGTTTTATTGAAAGGACATCTAATTATAAATGAGCTATGGATATCAGGTGCTTCTGATGAGCTGGAAATGTATATCTGACTCATGGGAAACTTCATGGGTTTCCTCATCTATCATGTAGATGATTATATATGGGTACATTTACAAAAATAAGAGTGGGATTTTTTCCCTTCAACTTTAATATTATCCCTATATATTGCATGAATGAGAGATTTCCCATATTTCCACCAGAGTAAGAAATATACTTGCTTTAATTCTTAAGCATAAGTGAACATGATCTAAAAAATATGCTGAATTACTTGTGAAGAATGCATTTAAAGCTATTTTAAATGTGTTTTTATTTGTAAGACGTTACTTGTTAAGAAATTTGTTATTATGCTTACTGTTCTAATCTGGTAGTAAAGGTATTCTTAAGAATTTGCAAGTACTTTAGATTTTCAAAACTGAATAAGAGAGAAAATTATATAACCATCCTGCTGTTCCTTTAGTGCAATACAATAAAACTCTGAAATTAAAACAAACAAAAAAAACAATAAAGTTTTCCTCCCTGGCTGCTTGAGGATCAACCACCATCATGAATGACACAGTAAGTTTATGACTAATCGACTACTTCAGAGGAAACAAATGGTCATTGATGTCCTTCACCCAAGGAAGGCAACAGTACCTAAGATAGAAATTTGGGGAAAACTAGCCAAAATGTACAAGACCACACTGGATGTTATCTTTGTATTTGGATTCAGAACTCACTTTGGTGGGGGCAAGACAACTGGCTTTGACATGATTTGCAAAAAAAAAAAAAATGAACCCAAAGATAGACTTGCAAGACATGGCCTGTATGAGAAGAAAAAGACTTCAAGAAATCAAGGAAAGGAACACAAAAACAGAATGAAGAAAGTCAGGGGAACTGCAAAGGCCAACGTTGGTATTAGCAAAAAGCTTGAAGGAGTAAATGTTCTGCAGTGACGTTACCTGCAGCCATTGTGTGGATTTTTCATAAGATGATTAATAAACTAAAAACTTTCAAAAAATACAGAAGCAACAAAGAAGATAAAATATATTTAGGAATATACTTAAGAAACATATAAAACCTTTATGAAGAAAACTTTAAAACACCCCTAGAAGACAGAAAAGTAGATGTGATAAATGGAAAGGCATCCTTTGTTTTTAGATAGGGTGATTTAACAACATGAAGATGTCAGGTCTTCCTAAATCAGTTTATAAATTTAATCCCAATAAAAAAAATAATCAAATTTATTTATGGAGCTAGAAAAAAAAATTTTTTTTTTTTTGAGACAGGGTCTTGCCCTGTCACCCTGGATAGAGTGCAGTGGCATCCTCATAGCTCACTGCAGCCTCAAACTCCTGGGTTCAAGCAATCCTGTCTCGGGTTCCCGAATAGCTAGGACTACAGGCATGTGCCATCTGTAGTCTCAGGCTAATTTTTTCTATTTTTGGTAGAGATGGAGGTCTTGCTCTTGCTCAGACTGGTCTCGAACTCCTGACCTCAAGTGATCCTCCTGCCTCAGCCTTACTGGGTGCTAGGATTAGAAGCCTGAGCCAATGCCCGCACCCACCATTTACTGTTTTGTTTTTTTTTTATACAGATACAACATTCTAATGAGTGGGAGCTGTGGCTCTCCTAACGGGTGTGAGGTGATAACTCATTGTGGTTTTCATTTACATTCCCCTGATGAAAGCGATGTTGAACATCTTTTCATGTTTATTGGTCATTTGTATATCTTCTTTGGGGAAATGCCTATTTACACCGTTTGCCTATTTCTTAAATTGGGTTATTTTTTTGTTACTGAGTTGTAGGAGTTCTTTATATATTCTGGATGCTAACCCCTTATCCAACATGTGGTATGTAAATATTTTCTCCTGTGGGTTGTCTTTTTACTCTATTGATTGTTTCCTTTACTGTACAGGAATTTTTAAGTTTAATGTAGTTCCATTTGTCTATTTTTGCTCTTGTTGCCTGTGTTCTTGGTGTCACATCCAATAAATCATTGTCAAATCCAATGTCATGCAGTGTTTTCTCTGTGTTTTCTCCTAAAAGTTTTAGTTTCAGTCCTTATGTTTGTTTAGGTCTGTTTGAGTCAACTTTGAATATCATGTAAAGTAAGGATCTATGCTCATTCTTTTGCATGTCCAGGTTTTCCTAATGCTATTTGTTGAAGAGACTGTCCTTTCCTTATTGTGTAGTCTTGGCACCTTTGTTGAAGATCCATTTGACTTTATGTGAGAGGGTGTATTTCTGGGCTCTATATTCTGTTCCGTGTCAGTCCTTATGCCAGTACCAAACTATTTTGAATACTGTAGTTTTGTAGTAGATGTTGAAATCAGAAAGTATGAGACCTCCAACTTTGTTCTTTCTCAAGATTGTTTTGTCTACTTGGGGTCCTTTGAGGTTCCATTTGAAATTTAGGGTTTTCTATTTCTGCAAAAACAAAAAACAAAACAAAAGTGCCATTGGGATTTTGATAGGGATTACATTGACTTTTTAGATCACTTTGGGCAGTATGGACATTTTAACAATATTAAGTCTTCCAATTCATGAATGCAGGATGTCTTTCCTTTGTTGTCTTTAATTTATTTCAGTGATATTTTAGATTAGGTCATTAAATGTGAAATACCCAATTTTGAATCAAAAGTTTAGTTTAGGCCGGGCATGGTGGCTCACGCCTGTAATCCTAGCACTCTGGGAGGCCAAGGCAGTCGGATTATTTGAGCTCAGAAGTTTGAGACCAGCCTGAACAAGAACGAAACCCCATCTCTATTAAAAATAGAAATAAATTAGCTGGACAACTAAAAATATATAGAAAAAATTAGCTGGGCATGGTGGCACATGCCTGTAGTCCCAGCTACTCGGGAGGCTGAGGCAGGAGGACTACTTGAGCCCAGGAGTTTGAGGTTGCTGTGAGCTAGGCTGATGCCACGGCACTCACTCTAGCCTAGGCAACAGTTCGAGACTCTATCTAAAAAAAAAAAAAAAAAAAAAGTATAGTTTATTATATCTCAAACAAGAATCAGTACAATTAAACATTTGTACCCCCGTAATATGCTGAAATAACATCAAATTTTTAAAAAAGCAGTACAATTAAAGTCTGCGCCTAAACTATCGATACAGCATTGCCATCTTAACAGTAGCTTGTTTATGCCAGCAGTGAAGAAACCTGGAGAGCGAGTGGTGATGAAATCACAAAAGTCATTTTCTACAGCGTGTTGAGAATTGAATATTTTTCCTTGCAAGAAGTGGTCCAAAGCCTAGAAGAAGTGGTAATCAGATGATGCAAGGTCTGGTGAATATGGTGGATGACAAAAGAGTTTCCAAGTTCAGTGTCTTTAGTTTGAGTAGCGTTTGTGTGACATGTGGTCAGGCATTGTCTTGCAAGAGGATTAGTCTGTCTCTATTAACACTCGGCTGCTTAATGGTAAACATCCTCATCATTTTGTCCAGTTGGTTGCAGTAGACATCTGCTATAATGGATTGACCAGGTTTCATGAAGCTGTAGTGGATTATATCACCACAACCACCAAACAAACACTATTAGGTTTTTTTGATGAATATTCAGTTTTGGACTGTGTTTCGGCACTTCATCTTTATCCACCCATTGTGCCAAATGCTTGTGATTGTCAAAAAGAATCTCGTTTTCATCTCACATTACAATACAGAATAGAAATGGTTCACCTTCATGTCGTGACAGCAAAGAAGGGCAAGCTTTGAGAAGATTTCTTTTCTGAGGCTCTTTTAATTCACGCGATACGCATCTATCCAGCTTCTTTACCTTGCCCATTTGTTTCAGATGCTCCAATGTTGTTGGAGTAGTAACGTCAAACCTTGCTGCTAATTCACATGTAGGTTGAGATGGATTCACTTGCACTACAGTTCATCATTATCTACCTTGGTCTCAGGTTGCCCACGTGGCTCATTTTCAAGATTAAAATCACCAGAATGGAACTTCTCAAACTCCTTTTTTTTTTTTGAAACAGAGTCTCGCTTTGTTGCCCAGGTTAGAGTGAGTGCTGTGGCGTTAGCCTAGCTCACAGCAACCTCAAACTCCTGGGATCAAGCGATCCTCCTGCCTCAGCCTCCCGAGTAGCTGGACTACAGGCATGCACCACCATGTCTGGCTAATTTTTTCTATATATATTAGTTGGCCAATTAATTTGTTTCTATTTATAGTAGAGACAGGGTCTCGCTCAGGCTGGTTACGAACTCCTGACCTTGAGCAATCCGCCTGCCTGGGCCTCCCGGAGTGCTAGGAATACAGGCGTGAGTCACCATGCGGGGCCTAGAATGGAACTTCTCAAACCATCAACATACTGCGCATTCATTAGCCACATCCTTCTGAAACACTTTGTTGATATTTTGAGCTGTCTGCACTGCATTGGTTCCATGACAGAGCTCATATTTGAAAATAACACTGATTTTTTACTTATCCATGGTTTCACAAAAATTGCTCTAAAATTTTTTTGAAAGATAATCACAAGCCAAACTGCATTTGAAAGACAAAGGATGTACCTTCACAATAAAAATTTTAAAAAGAAGTGTCAAAATGAAATATCAAGGATATCAAATGTCTAACTTAGTACTTAAGGAAATCAGATATTTCATACTTAATAAGCTGATAGTTTTCAATGTACAGGTCTTCTGCCTCCTTGGTTGAGTTTATTTCTTTTTTGTTTTGTTTTGTTTTGTTTTTGAGACAGAGTCTCTCTTTGTTACCCAGGCTAGAGTGAGTGCTGTGGCATCAGCCTAGCTCACAGCAACCTCAAACTCCTGGGCTCAAGCAGTCCTTCTGCCTCAGCCTCCCGAGTAGCTGGGACTACAGGCATGTGCCACCATGCCCGGCTAATTTTTTCTATATATATTAGTTGGCCAATTAGTTATAGTAGAGACGGGGTCTCGCTCTTGCTCAGGCTGGTTTCGAACTCCTGACCTCGAGCAATCCGCCCACTTCGGCATCCCAGAGTGCTAGGATTACAGGCGTGAGCCACCACGCCTGGCCAGTTGAGTTTATTTCTAAGTATTTTATTCTTTATGATGCTATTTTAAGTGGCATTGGTTTCTTAATTTTCTTTTCAGGTAGTTCATTGTTAATGTATAGAAACACAACTGATTTTTGAGTGTTGATTTTGTATCCCCCAACTTTGCTGAATTTGTTTATTAATTCTAGCAGAGATCATTTTACTTCTTCCATCCCCATTTGGTTGCCTTTTATTTCTTTTTCTTGCCTGATGGCTCTGGCTACTACTTCTAGTACTATGTTGAATAGAAGTGTTAAGAGCGTACATCCTTGTCTTGTTCCTGATTTTAGAGGAACAGCGTTCAGATTTTCACCATTAGGTATGATATTAGCTGTGGGTATTTCATATAGGACCTTATTTTGTTGAGACAATTTCCTTCTATTCCTGGATTTTTGAGTATTTATCAGGAAAGGATGTTGAGTATTTTTTTCTGTATCAATTGAAATGATCAGGTGATTTCTATCCTTGGTTCTGTTAATGTAGTGTGTACAGTAGTCCCTCCTTACTCAAGATGGATGTGTTCTAAGATCCCCCTTGGGTGCCTGAAGCTGCAGATAATACTGAATCCCATATATAATAAGAACTATGTTTTTTTGATCTGATAACCAAGATGGCTACTAAGTTACTAGCGTGTCCCAGGCAAGATGGAGTGGGTAGGAGATTTCATCACACTATTCAGAATGGTGTACAATTTTTTTTTTTGAAACAGAGTCTCACTCTGTTGCCCATGCTAGAGTACCCATGGCGTCAGCCTAGCTCACAGCAACCTCAAACTCCTGGGCAAAAGCCATCCTTCTGCCTCAGCCTCCTGAGTAGCTGAGACTATAGGCATGTGCCACCATGCCTGGCTAAT